GTTCCGTCGGATGTTTGGTGTGAATACATTGAAATCAAAAGGTATGTGAGTGGTCTACCGAGCGTCTACTGAGTTAAATGCGTTGACAACTAGCGCTAAGTTAAGTAAAAGTCTAACTCAAGCATACAGAAATATACCGGATGCAGTGCTCGTTGACATAAAGTGTGAGAAAATTAAAATATGGTCGCGCACTTCTGCGCCTCCTTGGATTTATGGGACACCTAAATCCGGTAGAAGAGCATGATTAATGTAATACACATTAGCGTGGGTTAAGTAACGAAATGCTGAGAGCTAAGAGTAACATTCAATCGTCTTTTGAGAATGTCCAGTGTAGGGTAGGATACGATCGATTTTGGGAGAGTTCCAGGGTTGGCAAACTCGAAGGAAAAAGTAATTTCGTCGACACACTAGACGGCTATATTGTTCCCACAATTTTAAGCAGTTACCCTTGAGCTGTGTGTTGTGGCTAAGTTTCAGCAAATGGCAGAATACGTGGTTGGGTTCACCCAATATTTGCTACGCTAATATGAGATCTCCGCGCAGCCTTCGGTAGTGTCCGCTGAAAACTCCCAGCAACTTCAGCCTCCGGGGGTAAGAGTGATAACGCACGCCCGTTACATTAGTTGATGCTATTAGTTGTGGTGCCTCTAATGCCTCAACGTCACGCTTCAATCAAACTTACTAATCTTGCATAGCGTATCAACGTGTGGCCTCACGTAGAAATTGTGCACCATGGGGAAGATTGATGGGTCAAATCTCCCGAATGCTCTACACAACAGGCTGCTATGCAGGTTGCATCATTTCTTAACTACCTCAACGTGTTTATTTTATAGTTGAGGTCACTCTGTACGAGCACACCGAGGTCAGGTTCTTGGGTGCTGGTCCACAATCCGTGTGCCCCAAGTACATACGTATGGTCAAGCGGATGGCGTAATTGAACTGCACGATATTTGTCTACCTTGAACGACAGGGTATTCTGAGCTAACCAGTCTTAAATGTGTTAAAATCGCGCTGGAGCCGTTCGTAGTCGTCCGATGCTCTGAGCGCTCTGCATATCTTGGTATTATCCGCAAAAGTTAGATAATCAGAATGCTAAACTACCCAAATAAGCCGTGCCATCACCTGTTGAGGCTGAATCAAAACAACAGACTGAGATGTCATCATCTCAAATTGGCAGAATACAACCGGATGGAGAGTCGAAGATAGTTCTCACTGCGTGTTTGCCATATATGGAATATCCTCCCAGAAGCTGTTATTTTAGCCCCTCACGTTAACTCTGTTCAAAGCTCGCGTCGACGGTGCACTAGCCGTACTGCACCACATCACGCAACCCAAACGACCCACATACAAAGCAGAAAAACAAATCAACCTAGCTTCATTTTTGTTTGGGAACCACAGACGATGACTTTGGATAATACATAAAACCAAGTGTGGACTGCTCAAATGGGGGACACTATAGCCAGCAAGTTGGAAATTTCTGATGGTTCGCTATCGCCTGTTGCAATTTTTTGTATTCACTTTGCTCACCGGCTTACGGACCCCTAATTAGGGCTCCTGATAAAATGTAACAATACCACCGATTGAGCCATATCGAATAAAGTACCTAACTTGATATGTGACTGATTAGGTAGATATCACTCAAAAACGTAACACGTAATATCCATCTATTTCATCAGTTACGGTTCCAGTGATCGAATTGACAAGTGTTCAGTTCATTGCGAATCCCGGTCCACATTGGGATTGAACCTCGCAATCCATTTATTAGAGTGCTTCAAAATGATCCACCAGTAAGAAAATACTCACCTAGTGTCCGTTGAACATCACGTCCTTTTACCTTATCCCTGACTGGTCGCGTCGGAGCTTGACCCACCTGAGTGCGGTATTGGCGAACATCACTTGTAGCCGATCCGCCGGCGTTTCTGTAACATGAGTGGCGCTTCCATCTGCTCTCTTCCATGCTTCCTTCGCTGCCCCCTGCCTAGCTCGGTCTCTTAGATATTTGCAGATCTCTTCCTGTTTATATGGTGTCTAGAGTGAGCAAATCCTATGGGCCTGGTAAAAGGGTCTCGACGAGATATCGACCTCAGCTCACAAACTACATCTGATTTTTATGTTCGGAATTATAAAGGCGAGATCTTGTTTCAAAAGCAATCAGTGTCCTATGTGTGCAGTGGTTGTCTTTGATCCCCACACCGTAACGCTAACTGCACTGGAGCGGTGCACGCCCCTCGCTAAACCAGTAAGCTTACAACCTGTAGTCTCCATTAGTGATGGAAAAAAAGAAGTCATATGAGACAAATTCAGTGTGTATCGATCGACGTGTGCACCTGTCCAGCAACGCTCATATAGTGGATGGAGGTATCTCAAATGACAATGTCGAATGCGTGGCAGCCGGTCACCCAATAGAACCTCCACTCCAAGAACAATGGGAAAAGGTAAGGGAGAACGCGATCCTTACGATCAGAAAGTTGAAAAGAAAATGAGAGATAGGACATCTCGGCTGCTAGAAAGCAAATCTCTAGGGGAGCAACCGAGGCGCCCATACGGAGCCAAAGCATCGCCGATGAGTCGCACTCTCTGGAATGGATTGGGCAAACATTTGACCAACTGAATGAATCGGACAGTTAACATGAGAGCAGTATTGCTTGGTTGGTCATAAGTCGACCTTTCTAGAGGTTTCCGTGTTTATATACCCTTCCTGTTCGATTTGACCTTTACAACGGACGGTGTGGTTAGCCAATACGACCCATTTCTTCTCTGTTCGTTCGAAACCGGTCTTTCTTGTGGAGGTTAGTGACTTGGAGTTTCCGATCGATAGTCGACTGTCTAAGTAGGTGAAGGACGACTTCACCGGCTCACTTCACATGTGGAGAACTCAGTCGATAATTTCCCGCAGACACGGGAGTAGCAATGTAGATCACAGAATAGAGACTTTTCGGATACATCCCCCAAATGTTTAATCTACTGAACCAAACACAATTCTAAGTTGAGAGACTAGCATTATGGGCATTTTACGAGAACGGTGATGTCAAATTACCTGTCAGAGACGTAATGATGAGAACCACTCTTACGGGACAGGGTCCAACTTTACTTCCATGAATTCCTTCCTCGATAAGGTCAATGAGCCCCGGTAGCACCATCGGCGTGAGTAATCTGGAGGCATTTGAGCTAGGACTGATGTTACCACAACTTTTACAGAAGGTCATTATGGCAATAGTCAGAGGGAACTTTTGCTTGTCTGTGACCGAAAGGATGTCACCGCTTTGAATCTGCGTGGGTGCAGGCGATCTTGCAGTATCCGCACGCAAATGGTGGTGATCGCGTGGAGGTGGAGCCTCGAGACGGCGTGCTGCAAATGCCTATTTCACCACTGTCTTCGCACATGGTGCGCATAAATGCGCAAGATCAAAGGCAAGCCGTAAGTTTAAGGGGAAAAGGAGCAAGGGACGGACTGGAGAACAGTGCTTCATAAGAAGAAAAACTATGGAACGAAGATTAGGATATCCGGCCATGGAGAACAAGGATCAGCACGATGGGCGTAATTAGGTGGAACAGGAACGCAGTACAGTTAAACAGCTATGATATGGGTGGATGCACTTGCTACGACTCGTGTTGCCAGGATAACAACAGTACGAAAACGGGGTTGAAAGCAAACAGAATACGAAGAAAATAGAGTAAGGAGAGAAATACGTGAAACTAATCGGGATAGAATAAGTATTAATAGCTAGATACAAGAAAGCGAATGTCAATTGATGCTAAACTGAGAAGGGAGAGTTTGGTGGGAGAAGAAGATCCAGCGGATGCGTAATACCTGCACGACTCTGGACCACATGGCTTGCTCGCAGACACAAGGAATTATCGCATTCAACACTTGAAAAGGTCCTCAAACGAAAACATCCTTTCAGTGATCGCAAAACAATAAGCTGGAGACGACTAGCACGTATATGCTGTGGCATCACTAACAGACTGACCTACTTGATCAATAAAGTAGACATGTGGTAACAGCTCATACGAGGCCTCAGTCCCACTCAAATCTTACGGTCATGAACTTTTGAAGCACAGACGTGAAGATGGTGAATCGCTACAAATATCAGTCGAAAGAGCAAGACGCTCACAGATGATAATCTGCAGGAAGGTCAACAGGCGCAGGGCAAAAGAATATGAAACGTCTCGACCGCCCCGAGAGGTTAAAGGAAAATAAGTGTTGCAAGAACAGAAATTTAGCATGGGCCCAGTAGAATTTGGGTTACAAATTTGTAAGGCCTAATCAGCGAAATAGCAAGGAATAGAGGAAATAAAAGGATTGTCATACTGACAAATGGTACCTTCCCGAATGAGGATCAAGAGGCCTGTAACAGCAGTAGAAGAGACGTCAGATTGTGTAATGCAGCTGTAAGTTAGTGACGCTCCAGTTTTCGTTCCCTTTTATGTGAAAGTTATCCCCCTCACTTGACTAGCTAAATGCTTTCCATCACCTTCCGATGCCTGTGTTCTCTTATTGTCCGACTTAATCAGCAATCATTGTCACGCCAAAGCGATGCAGAGTGACAAAACCCACTACGATTCAGTATTGGTGAACTGAACTACTGATGGTGGGCGCTTCATGGGATATGCAGCCGTCCTCTTGGCGTGACGCAAAGGCAACAGGAGGGATGAAGCTACTTGAAGGTAAGTAATTTGCGTACCCTGACACAAAGAAACGAAATTTTATACCCGTTGGCTCTTGCGAAGGCAAAGCTGCGGTCAGTCATTAAGCATGATGGTGCATCGCATTTTCAACAAACGAATGCGCATTGATCGCCTGTAACGAAAACGCCTTAACCACAACGAATATGGACAGAAGCGCGATATCTACAACGAACTGCAGCAAATGTTTACAACCGCAGCTGTGACACCCGGTGACGTCCAAAACATGCAGTCTGGGCCCGTTACGTGAACAATGTACCACATTGACAGAATATGAGAACCCATCTAACTACTGGGGGACTCTGCACTGGTGGCTGGAATGCCCGAACTAGGACAATGAAGGTGTCACCAAGATTGGTGATGAAATGTCTGTAATCCAATCGCGCAGCCCGGAGAACCAATCAAGACTACAATCGCCAACCCGAGCTACCGGCATTTAAACTCGTTGCAGAGTTCAGCTTATTCGGAGGGAAAACACGAGAACATGTTGGACAGTGGTAGCCGTTAAGTTGGGGGTCGGGTATGAGCCCGCGCAATGGTAACTGAATAGGCGATAAAGAAGAACGAATTCAAATGTACGCGCCTGTATCTGTGATAAGACACCACCATTGCAGATCGTAGAAGCAAAATCAGGAAAATTAAAACTAGTTTGGCTGGTGTGTGCGTGTGGTCGGGAAGAACTGGGAGTGATGATAATGCGCGTTAGTATCACGGTCTTCGCGTGAGCTGTGATCGAGTGGGATCGATCGGACGGCGGACATGGAGTGGCAGAGAGACGATGACGTGAGAAGGAACTCAGAGGACAAAGCGGTGAACACACTGCGTGCTGGGTGGGATTGCATACGCTGGTCGATTTGGAGTGGGAAAAGTCGCTCCGTTCTGGATGAGGCGGGCGAGCGTGTCAATGGTGCGATGAATTACACACAGTGGTTAAGCGGGTGCCGGTTGGCGTAAAGAAAAGAATAAGGAGGCCTGTGAAAGTGTCTCTAAATGCCGATTAACCGCAGGAGCATCGGGCGCCAACGGAACTAGTGCTTGATGCAAATGAGGCCACGTGATTCGTCGGTTGACAATGTGTTGCACAAAAAATTAGAAGATGGAGCAAGGTGGGAGGCAACCGAGTGAAGTCCGGTTATAAACGAGGCAAGATATACAAGCAAGGAGGAAATCCGAGGGCGAAGCAGGAGGGATGGTAACGAAAAGAAAAGAAATGGATCAGCAGACATAGTGAATGGAAGACAGATCCTAACATAGGATATTTCCAGTTGAGTAGGGGGAAGAAATGATGTCGAAGTATGAAACGGAGCGACAAGTTGGACTAGATAGCGCACACAGCGGTCTCACATAATGAGGCCTAAAAACAAGCACAGTATGAATGTCGCGAGGCATGAAGACGGCTCTGATACATGCACGACCAGTCAGTAGAAACAGCGCGTTAAGTGAGCGGAAGTTGGCAATGTGGGGAACTACATGAAAGCTGTGACAAGGTACACAGAGAGGAGGGAAACAGTGGAGCACCGTGGGTGATTAAGAAAAAGTAAAGTTGAATCTAGTCACGGTCACGCTTCTGCACATGCTAGCTGATACGAGACAGCCCGAGGCCATGACTCTATTGCACGACAAGGTCACAGAGACTGAGGTGCTGCACTTCGATTGCAGCCGGGGTGATGTTAGCGTCCGCAATCCGAACACATGATCATGTCATCGCTGGTGAGGAAACCGCGGCCGACCAAGTTACAATTGCATTTGCCACATAGGAAGCATTCAGAATGCCAGTGGCGGTCCTCGAAGGAGATAAATTTGCACCCACCGAAACCTGTTCAGTTGAGATTGGGGAAAGAAGAGAAAGTTCTTCGAACTTTGCAATATTTAGGAAGCATAATGTAAGGTACGGAACACGTACCACAAAATTGACAAGGGCGGCTGTTCATAGATAACTTGACTGCCAACTTCAGGTACAAATACAAACAGAATACGCGTAAGAAATGCATCGAAATGTTATACCAGTGAGGTATCTAACCCTAAAGTCTTTGCGAGAATAGAAAGGGTTCAAAAATCAGCATAGTCAATTTTACTAAAATAGGTTGTAGAGAACCGTGTCAATAAGCACGTAATGTGATGATGAGCGAGAACGAAAAATGAGGATCCAGAAGAAGTGAGGAATTGTGTGCACCCTCACTGCACCAGCTAGAGTTAGAAAAGGTTTCAGGTTTGGTGCCGCAATACATGCAACAAAGGCACACCGGCTGAGTCACTAGTAACGGATGGACGTCGTTCGGAGAGCTAACAGCCAGCTATTGTGCCGTAAAAGTTATGCTTAGTAAATGAGATCATGGTTGGAGAGGGAGGGAGAGGGACAACACAAATGCCACTGAGATCGGTTCCTTGCCATGTCAACACAAATCTTTCGGACCCCAAACAGGGATCCGAGAGGTCCAAACCGAAGCCAACTTCGAAGTAAGGGTCTTCATACCCCTCAACCAAGTCATCGCTTGGCCGCTCCTCCTCTTCTTTCATCCACACCGGGGAGCAAACAACGCACGTCGCGGGAGTCCGTGGGCCGGCTTGCCCAAAACGTGGCCCAGCCATCAGAGCCCGGTGCGTGTAATAACGATGCTGAGCGGTTCACTTCGTCTTCCTGTGCCATACAGAAAGCGTCGAACACGCTCAATGCTCCCACGGTGTTCCTACCAGATATGAGCCAAACTGCAAAGGCACCGGTGGTCGAACTTAACTAGCGAATCTAATGGACCAGGTTTCACAACAGTTGAGTAGGGTCGAACGTAAGGCTGCAACGTAAACTCTACCCTTCAAGGAGAGTGATGTCGCACCGGCACCATAGGTCGTTAAGATTAGCAAAAGCGCATCGAGCTTACGCTATACGGTTCATGACATCATTTTCGATTCCACAGGCGCTGATAAAACTGCCTAGGTAGTTAAATTTCCGAACAACGTCTAGCTAAACCCCTCCAAGGGTCAGCGCAGGAGGCAGTCCCTGCCAATCTTAGAGGAAGGCTTTGCACTTTGGGGGTGCAAAGCTTAGCCCGAAACAGTTGAAAGCCAGTGCTAATCTGCCTAGAGCCGTTTTGCCCGCTTATGAGCTACCAAAGATGAGGGCAATGCGGCCAGCATATTCGAAGTAAAGAATTCGTTCACACACCTAAGTCGTGTCTAGTGAAGGCGACCGCTATAACTTCGTCAATAGCGATGAAGAAAAATGGTGACAGTGGGCATCTTTGTCTTACACCGCTGGGGATATTGAGAGACGGCGACTACTTGCCGTAAGCCCTCACCGTGCCCGAGCTACGCTCTTATTATACTTACATATTTCTCAGACATACCTTTTCTAAGTAGACAGTTCCACAGGTTACATCGATCCACCGAATCGAAAGCACCTTTCATGTCAAGGAACAAGACAACAGTAGGCCGCCAATATATGTGACGGTGTTCCAACAACTGACGCAAAGTGAAGGTGTGACCTCGCTGCAACCCCAGTTAATCGAGGAAGCAGGGGTCAAGTATGGAAAACTTGAACTAAGCCACGGCGTGAATACCGAGGAGGACATCAACCGAACAGTGAAACAAATCAATTGACAACGTGCAGGTACACATTGTTCTCCAGATCAAACGAGTAGACTAAAATGTGGTGAGCAGTAATGGTTTGTTAAATCCTCGCGCTGACTTCCCTTTAACTCACCCATTGCAGCCGGAGCAACTGTAGAACTCAACGCTTTTGGTTACTACTTCCATGTAAGGACAACATATATACCGAAATTTAAAGTATATAGTGGTAGTAGGAATAATCTACTCGTTCCGTTAGATGTCACCTAGCCGCGCGCAACGCTTATCACAACCGGTGACGACCGAGGCTCGTTTCGGAGTGAATCGCGTCCCCGACTGAGATCGCTTGTCGCAATGCATCCACAAAACGAGTGTTTCGAACGAGCCAACAGTGGGTCGCCAATCGTTGCCTGCAAGTCAGTTGCTTAGGCGTAACGCTGTCGATCGGTGATCGCATAAATAGTTACGAAGACGGGCGTAGAGCGCGGTGTTATGGGTAGGCAACACTCAACAGTTACCTGTGACACCAAGCTAGTTCAGTTAATGTGACTCGGGCCACAACAGCGACAAGTAGTAAGAACAAGGCTTTAAAAGAGAGGTGGCAGACAGACGAAATTTAAAGTATTGGACAGAGGGGGAAAACATTGGTACTGTGACCGCAGCATGCCACAATGCGCCCCATACTAACTAATGCTGGGGATCGGGTGTGTCAAAGCCGGAAGGGCACGTGTCAGATAAACCAGATTTTGCTGCCAGCGCTTGCATCAAAACATTTGTAAGCAAATCGCTCGGCGAACATTTTAACAGCATTCAGACTCAGATAGACTGTGATCACTCTCACCACTGAAGACAACGACCACATTGCAAATAGTTCTAGTGATGGGCTCGGTATCAACAAGAAGGCACAAAAATACAGCCACCGTTACTAGGATTCGAGCAAGTTAGTCGAAAGCTGGTAGAGATATCTCAAGATCATTACGTGTCTTGGACACTTAGCACACGTCAAATTCAGGACCATGCACCGACGTTTCAGTGTTAGCAACCACCAGTAGCCGCAAACGGGCTTGACTTCGCTCCCTGTTCTCATGTGTTTCTAGCTTGTAGTGTTCTTCATCATGAGATCCTCGGCCCGCAAGGCATCTTACATGATCGATGCACATGACATTCTTAAGAGAAATTTACAAAAAGGCTGTGGAGTTGGCGAACGCTCGCATCCCACGAAAAATGATATCTTACATACCAATCTACAACTTCCAGAAGGAAAGTTTGGAAAAAGCTGTGAGCCGGCTGCTTGGAAGAGAAACCAACTCCACACTAGATGATGAGTGGACACAACTGTGTAAGGGAAAAACGCACTCACCGGTGATGGGTTTAGTGCACTTCGTGCATTTCTTGGCGAACAGCTCA